TTTCTCCCGTGGAACATCTGGTAGTTTCGAACTGCTGCTCTTAAGGTTCGCAGCCCCATTCGTAACCACTACGCTACCAGAGCTCCTTACTCAGGCATATATAACCATTCAAACAGTCCAAAGGTACACACTACAAAGTCCCCCCGCCCCCCAGCACACAGCCCCTCTCGCTCCCTGAGTCCAGCCTCTCCTCTCCACGTCATCGTCTCTGCCTCCATCTCTGGCTTTGCTGCTTCCCTGCAAGGGGTCCCGCACTCCACTCTTCTCCCTTAATGGTCCCAGGGTCCTCCGCTCCTGGACTGCAAGATCAACAACAATATCTTTAAGACCATTTAAAATGAAAAGTATACATTTTGTTTGTTTGTAGATTTTTAGCAATTAATACGTCTTTTCACACATTAGGGGGTCATCTTTGTACCAATGGACTTTGTTAAGCATCTGCTCTGTTCTAATCCGCTGTGGGAAATTATAGTTAAATTACAGTTAATCCATTCTTCAGCAAATGAGCTCAGCCAGTACCTGTTGAGCCAATAATATCCCCAAACACTGAAAATAAAGAAGTAAAGATCGTTCCTGCCTGGGGGCTGAGGAAACATAACAGCCCTTAAGACAAATACCATACAATACCTATGTTGTTGTTAAGGGTCATCGAGTCAGTTCCAACCCATAGTGACCCTGTACAGGGTTGAGGCTGTAAATCTTTCTCCCGTGGAGCGGCTGGTAGTTTCGAACTGCTGACCTTAAGGTTCGCAGCCCAGTTCATAATCACTACGCTACCAGAGTTGGAGGGAGGATTGGTAGATTAACCTCCTGAGGGATGGGGCATAGCGGGCCGGGTCCTCCCGTGGAGGCGCAATGTCCTGTGGATTTGTGCTCAAAGAAGAGCCTTGTGCAGGGAGGGGCCTCACCCCAGCCCCAGGGAGTTAGGACACTTTCCCAGAGCAGGTGAGGTCTAAGTGGCGGCCCCTAGCAAGGAATTAGACAGTGGTGCAGTTAGGGTGGAGGAACCAAACCTCAATATTTTCGGAGGTCAGAGGAAGGCAGCTAGCCCTCCAATATGACAGTTTTAAAGGATGACTCTGGCTGTAGAGTAGAGAGTAGATTCGAAGAAGTCAAAGAAATGTGATAGGCGGGTGCAGAAGTTGTTACAGTCATCAAGGCAAGGAATAACAGGGCTCTGGGGACGGGAGAGAGGCACTAGGGACAGTGGATTTGAATGCTTTGTAAGAGGTAATGAGCAAGGGCAGAGAGTTGGGTGGTACCTAGGTTTTTGGCATGAGCACCTGGATAGATAAGTGGCTGGGCATTCACTGTGTGTGTCAGGGTAGAGAAAAGGAGCAGGTTGGCAAGAGAGATGGGTTCAGGTTTGGAAATGTCATATGAGGTGCCTGTGGAACACCTGAGTGACTGGATGTGAGTCTAAATTTCTGGAGAGAAATTGTAAGTGTGGATAAAAGGATAGAAATGGGAGCTATGTACAGGCCTGGGATGATTGCTCAGGGAAAGAAGAGTGGCTTGTTTAAAGTCTGAGAGGCCAGAGAAGTGGGCGGAGAACAGAACAGCTGGGCCCTGAAGCCAAAGGAGAGAGTGTTGTAAGAAGGAGCACTGTTGTTGTTGTTGTTGTTGTTAAGTGCCGTTGAGTCGGTTCCGACCCATAGCGACCCTGTACAGGGTTTCCAAGGGTGTAAATCCTTACGGGAGTAGAAAGCCTCATCTTTCTCCCGCGGAGCACCTGGTAGTTTCGAACCGCTGACCTTAAGGTTCGCAGCCCGATTCGTAACCACTGTGCTACCAGAGCTCCTTAAGAAGGAGCACTAGTGGACAATAATGCTAGTGGGCAGGGAAGGGGAGAAACAGAAATGTCCTCAGGATTTCTACTTTGGACTGTTTAGACTAGGGGTATGGTGAAGAGAATGTGAACTTGCATCTTGACCAATAGCTTCAAAGCTAATGATTTCGGACACTTCAGTGAGCGCCACTTTCATCTGTAAAGTGCATTTAGAATACCTAACTCATAGGGATGTTATGAGAGTTTAAGGTAGTGTATGTACCATATTTTTACACAAATAAAATACACAAAATACAGTGTTTTACAAACCGAGTAACCCCTTCGCACACTAGTTTCCTATCCCTACTCTGGAAATCCTTGCACATTATTTACTTAAGTATGTTAATTTGCTAAAGGTCCTGTAAATGTCTCCCCCAGTGCTACTCTGGGAGCATAGTAGAGGTGGGTTGGCACAGTTGAGTCTAGAGGCCACCAAGATGACCATTTGAATGGCTTAGTGGGGGGCAGGCTTGGAGAGACTGAAGGCTCAATCAATAGGATTTGGTCTTGATCAGAAGGTGAAAGTCAGGAGTCTGTGGTGTCTCCCAGATTTCCAAGTTAGATGCCTGGAATGTCCCAGTATGGATTGGGCAAGAGGCAAGTAAGTTTGAAGTGTCTGTGGGCCATTCTAGGGGAGATTGAGGAGGCATTGGAATAGAGGAGATAGTTTAGAGAGAGGGCTGGGCTGGGTTGGAGATGAGGTGATACCAATACTTGTGTTTGTGTGTGAAGACAGCGTGTGGATTAGATCACCCTGAAGGTCTGCAGAGGAAGGAGACAGGAACAACAAACATCCAAGGGGCAGGAACAGAGGGCAACCAGACAAGAGGAGAGCAGGAAAGAGTGGTGTCTCAGGAAAAACAGAGAGGAGAGGCAGTCAGCCATTTCAAATGTACTTGAGAAGGCAAGCAACTAAGATAGGATGAACATTGTGGGTCTTGGCAGGTGTTCGGTGGGCAAGCAGAGGCAGCTTTAGTGGAGGAGTGGTGCTGGATGGGAAATCGTGCTGGCTTGAGGCCTAACTGTCAAAGAGGTAGTGGACATGATGTGAAGTTCAGGCTGAAAAGACTCCAGGTTTCTTGACATGGATCCAGGCAGAGAAGATGCCAGTGGAAGGGAGAGGCCAAGTCTGTGAGTAAGAGGGACTTGATGTCACAAAGCCTAGGGCAAGGCTAAGAAACACAGAATTTGTGGGAACAGTGGCTAGCAAGGCATCTTTTTGGCAGTAGAGATGACTGCTGATGCAGACCTAGAGAAATCGTCACGGTTTGCTTGGTTTTACCACCTTTTCATACTTTAGGAGCCATGTGAAAGTGCTTATAAGCTCCAGGATTTAATTATCTGAACTTGTTTGATCCACTCTCCAATCATAAGTTTTTAAGTAGTTCCTGTTCTAACTTGGCTTACTCGTTTGGTAGGATCTGGAATGATCTCTCTTCTATGTGAACGAACCAAAATCTACAGATGACAAAGATTTTAGTTCCAGGGGTCGGTAGTTACGTAGATGACAGACAATTTTCTATTCATCTTCATAGTGTTTTAGGGCAGCAGGATGACACCTATTTAAAAATACATTTCTTTTAGCGAAAGCGAAAGGAGGACTTTTGGGCTAGCACTTGACAAGTGTCACTTTTGGAAAAGAGGAGTTTTGTTTCCTGGTTGGATTTTTAAATGTTCACAGCCACTTGTGGTTCTCAGGCTGGATCCTGGTGCCTGGGGAGAGGGCACTGCTCTCCCAAGGCCACCAGCCCTGGGAGCGGAGACCCCTGGAGGGAGCTCAAAGAAGGTACACTTAGTATTTAAGAAGTCTTGCTCTTCCTGGTGTCTCTCCATTAGCCAGTGTGTATGACGATGTGTGAGTGAAAAGAGAGACCTCTGGGCTGCAGAGCTGCCTGTGACCTGAGCGATAAGAGAAAGGAAAAGGTTTAAACTAAAGAAATTCACAGGTTATCAAGGAAGGGGCACATACGAGGGAACTTCAAACAGTTCGATGCAAAAATGGAATGTGTCCACGAACTTTTTGAAGCCCCTTTTTTTATTCACATTGTGGCTGAGCCTAAGGTTTTACATCCTCTGCCTTGCACCCATAAATATCCACAGACGAGGATGCCTGGAAACCAATGTTTCAACTCAGAGTTAAATGCTATGTTCAACTGATTTTACTTTTGCTAGGGGAAGCAGATAATTTTAGGGGCAGGACAAACAAGGAGGTATGGTCAGTTACATAATTCAAAGAAGGAAATAGCAGACATGTGCCTCAGTGGAACCAAAATGATGATCATTACTAAACTGATTCCCACTGAGTCGACTCTGGATCATGTGTGTCAAATAGAACCATGCTCTGTTTGACATGGTTTTAAATATCTGGTTATTTTCTGACATAGATCACTGGCCCTTTTCACCAAGGGCGTCTCTGTGGACAAAAACCTCCAGCATGTTAGTAGCCAAGAGTGTTAACCATGCTCAGCACCCAAGAACTAAGACCAGCAAGAAATTTCTCAGAAAGCCACCTCTCGCAGTGTGCAGTGATCTCAGTGCAATCCAGCATTGTTATGTTCTGGTTGTATTTTTGCCTTTCTTTGAAGTCTGGGATAATACAATACAAAGAGTTCCCTGGATCCTGACAAAGGAATTCATTGGTCTTGATGTGGAAAAAGGTGAGGGTTGCTGAGGCCAGGCTGCTGCTGATCCATGTTCTGTTGTCTTGCAGTTGCACCCAGTGATCAAGGCATTCATGTGTGGATCCATCAGTGGGACATGCTCTGCCCTCCTTTTTCAACCTCTGGATCTCCTTAAAACGCGCCTGCAGACTCTCCAGCCTTCAGCCCATGGGTAGGTACCAGTGCCTCACGTATTACTGTGGACTTGCTTCCAACAGCTCTCAGACACGGAAGCGTCTTCACTGCGTTAGACCCGTTCTGTTCTATTGGAATGTCAGAGAGCAACACAGGCCATACCTTTTGCATTCCTTTTTCCATGAATATTTTTTTTAAGGTATTTATTATGGATTGAATGAAAGTTTTCAAGGCACATCATCGGTTTCACATTCAAACATTCATATACCTTGTTTCATTACATTGATTATAAGCCCCTCCACATACCATCAGTTAACAGAGTTTCTCTCTACTCACTTTAGCTTTTTTTTTGGGGGGGGGGGGGCGGGGAGGAAACTTTGCCTTTTTGGAATTTATAGTCTTGGCTTTTAGGGAAGGTTTTTACATTTATCTGTGGATATCCAGGGCTCATGTATGGAATTAATAACCAGCATAACTGAATAATCAGATAAGGGACATTTTGCTGTGTCTGCTAGGTGGCTAAAGTCTGATCCTCGGAGCCTATGGTTTGGACGGTCAGCAACGCTTGGGCCCACAGGGCCTTGAACTCCTGACTGGGTCTGCACGGTCTGCATCAGATTCCCCCTTATTTATTATTTGTTTAAGGGACGCTTCCTGTCTTAGGCGGTCAGTGTGAATTCCTCAGTCTTACCCGTCATCAAAACTCATTGCAGCATGGCAATGGCTCTGTCTTAGGTTGCTGGCCATGAATATGTTTTATGTTTGATAGTTCTTGTTAATTGGGTCCTTTCCTGAGCAACTTCCCAGGCTCTGCCTTGATGACATTTACAACCACTGCCAGACAGTTTTCAGAAACCCATAGAAGGTCACGATGAGTCGGAATAGACTCACTGACAGTAAATTTTTGGTTTTGACCAGAGTTTTTTGTGCTAGCATGTAATGTTGTCATTGTACTGGCTGGTATGAGTAGTGAGTGGTTTTCTGAAAATAATATTAAGAATTGAGAGTCTATCTTGTTCCTCATATGAAGCTCTCCACTGTGGGAAGTTTACAGAACGTATATAAAACATAAAGTTATCCCTCAAGTTGCTTGTGGCATCACTGGACAGACATGAATTCTAAACACCCTGCAAACTCAGTCATCCTCAGATGGAGCTCTGGTAGTGTAGTGGTTACGAATCGGGCTGCGAACCTTAAGGCCAGCAGTTCGAAACTACTAGCTGCTCTGCGGGATAAAGATGAGGCGTTCTGCTCCCGTAAAGATTTACAGCCTCGGAAACCCTGTACAGGGTCGCTATGGGTCGGAACCGACTTAACGGCACTTAACAACAACAAGTGTTCCAGAAGATGTGAATGCACTGAGATGTACACAAAGTCATCTTGGTATGTGGAGTTCTTTTATGAGGAAACTGTTTTAATGTTTTGTTTTTCTTTCCGCACCTCCGTTGTATCTGTTTTCAGGTCCAGACGTGTTGGGATGTTCACTCTGCTCATGAAGGTGGTTCGCACGGAGAGTCTCTTGGGCCTTTGGAAAGGGGTGTCCCCTGTAAGTTGCATTTTTGGTCTGCGTTCTTTGCCATTCTCCTTTGATAAGCAGTTATTTCGCATCTTCCTTACCAGCTTTGAGAACACGCATGACTTCTGTTTGAGGTTTCGGGGAAATATGGAATCTGTACACCTTGGCTATGATTTTGTTGTTGTTGTTAAATGCCATTGAGTGTGTTTTGACCCATAGCAACCCTATATAGGGTTTCTGAGGATGGCTGGTGAGCTTGAACCATTGACCTTGCAGTTCAAACTGACTTTGCAGTCCAGTGCATTAACCCACAGCCCATTAATCAGTTTTGTATTCATCTTAAAGTCCCAGAGCAGGTCTGAACCCCCTTCCTTTACTACTCGGTGTCCTGACAACCTGTAGCTTTGCCCAAAGCATTTTCTGACCTTAGGAACTCATTTGACTAAAAGTACCAGGAACTTCATGCCCACCCTCGTCTTTACACCTATTGTCATCAAGTTATTCCAACTCACACCAACCCGTCAGGACAGAGTAGACCTGCCCCCCATGGGTTCCAAGGCTGTAAATCTTTATAGAAGCAGACTGCCTCATGTTTTCCCAACCAAGCAGCTGGTGGGTTCAAACTGCAAAACTTCCAGTTAGCAGCTGAGCGCTTTGAACTTTTCGTGTTTGAAACCACATTTCTCTGCTGCTACAAGGTCCCTAGGCAATACAAACGGTTTGTGCTCAACTGCTAACCTGAAGGTTGGCGGTTCAAACCCACCCAGCAGGCCTGGCAGTCCGCTTCCATAACATTTACAGCCAAGAAAACCCTACAAAGCAGTCCTGCTTCTTAGCACCTGAGTTGGAATCGACTTGATAATAGCAGGTCTAGTTCTTTCAGTGTTTCTTTCACCTGGGCAGGAGGCATGTTCTACCGTGGCTCCCAGAATTCCCCAGAGGAAGTAAGCTCCAGTTGCCCTCTGTGTCTCCTCTACTCCATCTTCATAACAAACTACATGCCTGAGAATCACTTCAGAATGGCCTTTTGGGAACACCCAGCAAAGACAGTGTCTCACAGTCTGATTTATTCTCTTCTCCCAACTTGTCTCTGTAGTCCATTGTGAGATGTGTCCCTGGCGTTGGAATCTACTTTAGCACTCTCTACTCTCTGAAGCAGCACTTCGTGAAAGACCATCCCCCCACCGCCCTGGAATCAGTCATCCTGGGGATAGGCTCTCGCACCATTGCTGGGGTCTGCATGTCACCCATCACTGTCATCAAGACACGCTATGAGGTGAATGTCATCACTTTAGGACCTCAGGGTGGGTAAGGAGACGCACTGAGATCTCAGGTAGAATTGGGTCATGTGACCACTGAGATCCACTCCTAACACAGTGGCCAATGAGGTTAGAGAATCCATTTGTGTAGGTAGACCGGGTCACGGGTGAACTAGAGTCCCGTAATGTCACATAACCGAAGTTGGTTTGGGTTAGCACTCAGCTACAGTGCGGGTCACTGGTTCTGTGTCCCCTTTGTAGAGTGGGAGGTACGGCTATGAGAGCATCTATGCAGCCCTGAAATCCATCTACCGCAACGAGGGGCATCGCGGATTCTTCAGCGGCTTAACAGCGACACTCCTACGTGATGCACCCTTTTCTGGAATCTACCTAATGTTTTACAACCAGACCAAAAACACAGTGCCCCAAGGTATGGCCAAAGGCAAGTGTGGTGGGGAATAGCTGGGGCATCCAGTCCTCACCACTTTTTGGGGATGTGAGACTATTTATTGTTGTTAGCACTGCTAGAGATCTTAGTTCTGCCAGGATAGAGTCAGACACTCCGCTGAGTGCCCAGGACAGCCTCACAGACTTATCTGTTACGTCGGAGTACTCACAGGCGTGAATTTGGAGTGGGGAGACTAAAGTAAAGCAACAAGACTTTGGCTCATGTTCAGATTGCAGAACCCCCCCCCCCCAAGATCTCCTAAACTAGAAGATTTGGGGTGTGACATTAGAGTCCCCATTTTCCCCCTAAAGTAATTGCTATGATTCTAGTCAGACAAGTTTGAGAAGTCCCTAAGTGTAAGAGTTTAAAGAGCAACATTATCTTCACCTCCCCTTCAAGGCCCCCACTTACTATGGTTTTGAACCCTCCATTTGGGTAGAGATAAAGTGTCTAAATACCCAGAGGCCTATCTGAGGTATGACTAGTATGGCACAAGCCCTAGGCACCGCTTGATGGGAGGCGCCTGTTGACCATCATGGTTTCCATCACCGACTGTGAGAGATCATTCAGCAATTGAAAGCTACTGTAATTGCCATTGGCGCTAGTTTCCATAGTTACAGCACTGCTTGAGGCCCATAGGCCTGCATTCTGACAGGCCTGCCCCACCAGGAAGCTCATCCCATGCAGGACTAGAAGTGGGCATGATCAAGGGGCCCTGGTGGTAGTGGTTATGTGCCGTGGAATTCGTTCCGACTCATAGTGACCCTGTACAGAGTTTCTGAGGTTGTAAATCTTTATGGGAGCAGAAAGCCTCCTCTTTCTCCCACGGAACAGCTGGTAGTTTCGAACTGCTGATCTTGAAGTTAGCAGTCAGACTCATAACCACTACACTACCAGAGCTCCTTCAAGGAGCCCTAGACATCCACCAAATTAGAGCAAGTGTTGATAGAAACATATGTATGTCATAGGATGAACTTGTACTCAGTGTGAGATTTTTTTAAGCTTCTGTTTATGCCTTTTATTAATGGTATCTTTATAAATCTGATTTTTATTTGTCTTTGGGGTTGACATGAGAATGATAACAACTCGACTACTTCATAAGCTGTAGTCCTTGTCTTTGGGTACGTGCTGCTTCTCACCAGTCACCAGACATGAAGCGTAGCAGATCTCACACAGTCTTATTGTGCAGAGTAAGGGCTAAGGCAGGAAGGGAGCTTGGATATGCATCCTTAGTTCATCTTTACAAAATGTTTTAGATGTTTGTAAATAATTTTAAACTTACACGAAAGAACCATAAGAAAAATACACACATCAGTGATCCTTCTCTTTCTATCTTTTTTTTTTCTTTTGAGCCATTTGAGAGTAAGTTGTAGACAGCATGCCCCTTTACCCTTAAATACCTCTATGTGTATTTTCTAAGAACCAAGACACAGTACAGTTATCACGGAATTTAACATGGATCTCATTCTGATTTCTCTGATTGTTCCAATATTTTCAAGAGTGCGTTGTATGCACTCTGAGTTGACTCTGACTCATAACGACCCATAGGACAGAGTAGAACTGTTCCTGTGGTTTTCTAGGCTGTAATATTTATGAGAGCCTGTCGCCAGGTCTTTTTTTCCTGCAGAGAGGCTGGTGGGTTTGAACTTCCAACCTTTTGGTTGGCAGCTTGAACACTTAACCATTGTACCACCAGGACTCTTTTCAAGGGTATAGGCCAGTTACATTATAGAATGCCCCTCTGTGTTGATTTGGTTGATGTTTCCTTGTGATTGGATTCTGTTACACGTTGTTAGTAAAAAGACCATATAAATGATGTTATATTATGTCAACAAGTGCATGACATCAGTTAGACCCACTGTGGATAATGTTAACTCCATCACTTACTTGGATGAGGTGGTGTCTACTGAAAGCTATTTTCCTTTTGTAATTTGTGTGTTGTGGGGAGATAGGATTTGTTGTTGTTAAGTGGTTTCTGAGTTGTAGTGACCCTTTAGAGGGTTTCCAAGGCTGTAAATCATTGCAGGAGCAGAAAAGGCCTCATCTTTCTCCCAAGGAGCACCTGTTGGGTTCAAATTGCTTGTGCTTTGCAGTCCATTCGTTATCCTTTCAGTGTGGCATCCCTGGGTAACACAAAATTTAGGCACCGGACTATGGACTGACAGGTTAGACAGACCTGGTGATCTGCTTCCCAAAGGTCACAGCCTTGAAAAGCTAATGGAGCAATTCTCGGTCCTCATGACATCACAATGAGTCAAAACTAACATTTCTTTTACCAACTTCTAGGTAATGATTCTTTCCTGAATCATTTATTATGATCATGATTGTAAACAGGTGACTTTCTACCGCCATTGTTCCATCTACATTTATGAATTGTACCTTTAAAATGTAAATTCCTAATTTTGTTTGAATCCAAAACGTCCTGGCATTTGGGAAGAATTCCTGGGCAGCTTGCTTTGATATTTGTCTCATGAATAATGTTTATAACTAAATGTTGCCTTTCTTCTATTTCAGACCAGTTGAATACAGTCCTTACTCCTTTTGTGAATTTCAGCTGTGGGATATTTGCTGGTATTCTGGCCTCGCTGGTAACTCAGCCTGCAGATGTTATCAAAACTCATATGCAGTTTGCCTTGGTGAAATTTCGGTGGATCGGCCAAGCAGTTATACTCATTTTTAAAGTAAGGTTGTGGAATAAGTATTGGTTCTTACTATAGCTAATGATCTCTTTCTCTAGAACAGTACTGCTCATCCTCCCATCCCTCCCCCAATTAGAATCACAGAGGAGCTGTCAAAAATCCCTAAATCCAGGCCACAACACCACTGGGCTGATTGTATCAGAATCTCTGGGGGATGGGATCCCAGTGGCAGTAGGTTGTAAAGCTCTTTAGTGATTCTAATTTAGCCAAGGTTGAGAACCACTACTCATGTTTTTAGTTGGGGTGAGGGGTTGGCATACACCTGCATTAGAAGCACCTGCAATATTTATTAAAACATGTAGATGACTGTACTTGATGCCAGACCTACTGAGTCAGGCAGTCTGGCAGAATTTTAGGAATCCTAGGAGGAAATACAATTGGAAAAAGCAAAAACACATAATTTGGTTTCTAGCGTGCTCTAATACAAATGGACAAATACTGTCATTGGAGAGAAAAAGTGCAGTAAAGTACTACCAGCATCTGAGGGAGCTTCAAAAAGCTCATGGAAAAATGGAATTAAAAGATAATGGATCCCAACCAAAAACAGTCCAGGCCCAGCTGGCTTACTGGTGAATTCTACCAAACATTCAGGGAAGAGCTTTCACCAATTCTACTCAAATTATTCCAGAAGAAAGAGGAGGATGGAAAACTTCCTAATACATTTTATGAAGCAAGCATAACCCTCATACCAAAACCAGGGAAGGGCATCACTAAGAAAGAAAATTATAAACCAATATCCCTCATGAACATAGATGCAAAAATTCTCAACAAAATCCTAGACAACAGAATCCAGCAACACATCAAAAAGATAATACATCATGATCAAGTGGGATTCATATCAGGGATGCAAGGATGGTTCAGCATTAGAAAAACGATCAACGTTATCCACCATATAAATAATTAAAAAGAAAAGAACCACATGATCATATCGATTGATTCAGAAAAGGCATTTGACAAAATCCAACATCCATTCCTGATAAAAACTCTCAACAAAATAGGAATTGAAGGGAAATTCATCAACATAATTAAGAGCATATATACAAAACCAACAACAGCCTACATTACT